AAATTACAGCGAGTTTTCTTGTAGGATTTTCATTGATTCTTTTTTCTCGAGAAAAAAACATATCTTTTAAAGATTTTACTATTTCACACAATTCCTATCGTACAACAGAACTTCTTCGAAGAGTATTACTATTTGACTTTGCTGAGAAATTAAATTTCTTTATCTTTTCTATCATTTGCAGTAACAAGTATAAAAAACAGACATTCTTATGTAAAAATACTATTAAACCTTTGGGTACAGATTTATTTGGAGGAAAGCTTCTATAGAATTTGAAATTTATTCTGCAGTCACAAAGGAAGCAACATATTTGAATTTATAATTAATTTGTACTCATAAAAGAATAATCTATTCTACTTAGGGCCGCATTTACATAAGGCGCAAGCTAGAGCCTCGCTCTCTATAAGGCCACATTATTTAAAACCTTACTCCTCACAGACAACAATATAAAAAACAGCCTGGCTATAGTTGCAAGATAAAATACTTATTCTCAAACATTAAATTCGTAATATAAAAACAAGAAGCCTTGGAAAACGGAGAAACGCGAAACTTACGAGGGTCCGCAATTCGTCAATAGGTCGAAATCGACGGGAATTTCTACAGACAAATATGTAGGAACCGACGACGGAAAAATATTGAGGGATCCAACAGGAATCGAACCCGAGACCTTCGGCTCAGCAAGCCGAGGCTTTGCGCACTACGCCAACCACTCCCTCTCTATTGTCCCTTCGAGGTTTCCTATTTGGGCATGGAGGCCCCGATACTACACTCGGCCATCCTCAACTGATATTCGCCCTCGAATGTCCTCAGTGCAACACAACTCGACACTTTCGGGCACACTCCCCCACACAGTGGCACACAGCCGAAACAACGCATTTTTGGGAGACGTGCAACCCTCGACATGTTTTCATCGCACATCTCCTGGCTTCGTGCAGCCGTAGATGCCTCCATCCCGAACGAGCCCCCATTTGTAGGAACCGACGACGGAAAAATATTGAGGGACCCAAACGGGAATCGAACCCGAGACCTTCGGCTCAGCAAGCCGAGGCTTTGCGCGCTACGCCAACCACTCCCTCTCTATTGTCCCTTCGAGGTTTCCTATTTGGGCATGGAGGCCCCGATACTACAAATATAATCTATTAAAATGAATTTTCACAAAAACGTCGACTTTTATTTTCAATAAACTTTAAAACAAACGTGTACGAATTTCATTAACTGAAATAGATTCGTTCTTTTAGAGGACCTAGGGGCCTCCAAATGTACAAACGCGGCCCCGATTGTTTATTTTTCGTCAAAACTACCGAGGTAGTTAAAAAAAACTTTCTTTTTTTCCTCTTTCTTGCTCTAGAGCCATGCGAAACAGGGGTGTAGAAATCAGCATACCAACCCCGCACCACGTCCTCCCGTGCAATCCATTAGACGTAGCGTCTTTGTTGAACAGTTGTGGGATAAGAAGTGTAGATCATCAAAAACTGATCGAAAAAATCCACGAAAGCTTGTACGACAAACAGTACAAATTGAACGAGATGCTGCAAGTGGCGTCGTTCACCAGTCAGCAAATGTTGAAGGGATTCACTTTCGAAAGATCGTTAAGGAACTCTTATCGTGAACTTTGCGGGACGTTCGACTGGAGATCGAGAAAGGAAGCATCAAGGAAGATCGAGGAAATTTTGTCAGAGTATGCGGAGAACGAGGGAGGAGCTGAGGTTCTTTACGATCTCAACGCCATAACCTTGAGAATGTGCGATCTCCGGAGGAACGCGAGGCTAGCGGTGATCAGACAGCAGGGATTTCTTTTGAAGTATGCAGTGGAGAAGCTGAGGTGAGGAGACAATGACAAATGGGAATTTTAACCCTTTGCACTCGGAGGTGATTTTGCTGTAAGGAAAGTTGTGAATCGGATCTTCTTCCAAATTTTTTCAAACTAACGAAGAAATAAACTATACTCTATATCTCTGTTTCACCATGGTGAAGAAATTTATGGAGATCTATAGATCCGCTACTCTGTCTCGATTAATTATTCACCAAGTGACGATTGTTTAATGCCGCTTCTCACTCAATTGCAAAGGGTTAAAGTGTCACATGTACTTAAACAGGTCGAAATTCTACAGTGTTCGTTCCCAAATTTACTCGTTATGTCATTTGTAACGCAAACTGTTTACGTAATTTTTAATATAAATTCTTCTGAGATTGCAAAATTGAGAAATGTGTAAAGAAACAATTCTAATGTTTTCACTTTATTATTCGGCATTTTATATTAACTTCGCGACTCTGAATTTACAAAAGAATAAAATATGAGTTTGCAATATTGAAATGTTCAAATTATCATTTTTCACTTTATACTAACCATTTGCTGGTGTGATAATTTTTTTAAAGCTTTCTTCAAATTCTCTGAATTGTTTAAAAAGTGAAATATGCAAACGTAATAATATATATTTGACTATATTTTTATATAATATTCTA